TGATAATGACGATGCTGCTGATGATGATAATGGTGATACTGATAATGTTGATTGTGATGATGCTGCTGCTGATGATGATTATGTTGATGGTGATGATGATGCTGATGCTGATGCTGCTGATGATGATGATGGTGATGACGCTGATGATGCTGATGATGATGCTGATGATGTCGATGATGATGCTGATGCTGATGCTGATGCTGATGATGATGATGATGATGATACTGATGATGACACTGATGATGCTGATGCTGATGATTAGGCTGATGCTGCTGCTGCTGCTGCGGCTGATGATGATGATGATGATGCTGATGAGGCTGATGCGGCTGATGATACTGATACTGATAATGATGGTGCCGATGATGATGATGATGATGATGATGATACTGATTCTGCTGCTGATGCTGCTGATGAGGATGATGATGATGCTGATGCTGATGCTGCTGCTGATGATGATGCTGGTTATGATGTTGATGTTGATGTTGATGCTGATGTTGATGTTGATGATGATGATGATGATGATGATGATGCTGATGTTGCTGCTGATGATGATGATGCTGATGAGGATGTTGATGCTGCCGAGGCGGAGGAGGAGGAGGCGGAGGCGTGGAGTTTCGGAGGCGGAGGCGGAGGAGGAGGAGGAGGAGGAGGAGGAGGAGGAGGAGGAGGAGGAGGAGGAGGAGGAAGGGGCGGAGGAGGAGGAGGAGGAGGAGGGTGAGGATGATGATGAGAATGAGCATGCAATTGATGATGCGGACGATGATGCTGATGATGCTGATGATGATGATGATGATGATGATGATGATGATGATGATGATGAGGATGATGATGAGGAGGATGATGATGATGATTTGGATGAGGATGCTGCTCATGATGATGATGCCGATGCTGATGCTGATGATGATGAGGATGCTCATGCTGCTGATGATGATGATGGTGATGATGATGATGATGATGATGATGACGACGACACTGATGCTGACGCTGATGCTGATGCTTCTGATGATGGTGATGGCGATGGTGATGCTTATGCTGATAATGATTATGCTGGTGATGATGATGCTGATGCGGCTGATGATGATGGCGATGCTGATGCTGATGCTGATGCTGATTATGATGATGATGATGATGATGATGATGATGCTGATGATGATGATGATGATGATCATGATCATGATCATGATCATGATCATGATGATGATGATGATGATGATGATGATGATGATGATGATGATGTCGATGAAGCTGACGATGACGAGGTCGTGACGATTATGATAATGATGGTGATTATGATGCTGATATTGGCGGTTGTGGTGATGATGAGATGGTGAGGACGTGGAGGAGGAGGAGGAGGAGGAGGAGAATGAGGTTTGTTTTTACCATGCACCGCTGACCACACCAACTGCAGACTGCATAGAGTCAGGGGCTGGTGGCAAAACTCCCACTCCAGAGTCATGAGACACGAAAGCCTGGAGCGGAGAGCGAACGACAGGCCAGAAATCGCACCACACCAGCACACGAGGCCGAGAAGGTACGAAAAGGACCGTCCCAGCAACTCGCGCGCACAGTGCAGCCATCGTACTCACCAAAATCGTCACCCGAGGCCGATTCGGATGTCGGCCATCAAGGTACGAACCCAAGGAACGGGTGTCCTAGAGATGCCATCCTGCTTAACATGAGGGCCAGGACAACGCTTCGCGAGTTAGGTGAGGCGCTGACCTTAGGTGTAGCTTTTGTATAACTGACAAGAACGTATTAGCCTGGCGAAGGACCCAACCGTATGCAGTTGTGAATGCTGCAATTGTGAATACCATCTTCGCCCGCGCTCCCTGTGGCCACAGCTTCCCGGAGCCTGACATGCTCAAGGGCGCGTTCGTGGCCGTCTCCACGGGCGCCGACGACGACGAGGGCGGCGTCCCTGCGACCGAGGAGCAGAAGCAGGAGCTGGCTCTGAGCTCCCACTGGGGCCGCGATCCCCGTGAGGGGTGTGCCAGAATGGCCCGAGGCCGCCATGCGAACTTTGCCAGTGGCGCCGTCGGTGGAGCTCCTATGTGGCCACGATCCTCGTGAGGGGTGTGCCCAAATGACCCGAGGCCGCCATGCGAGCCCTGCAGGTGGGGCATTCGGTGGAACTCTTTATGGAGCCACGATCCTCGTGAGGGGTGTGCCGACATGGCCAGAGGCCGGCATGCGAACCCTGCCGGTGGCGCCTTCGGTGGAGCTCTTCTGGGGCCACGATCCTCGTGAGGGGTGTGCCGACATGGCCCGGGGCCGCTATGCGAACCCTGCCACTGGGGCCTTCGGTGAAGGTCCCTTTGGGGTCACGAAGCGCTGTACTGGGTGGGTGAAACGCAGGGAGGAAGGGGAGGAGGGAGGTTGGGGATGGGAAAGAAGGAAGGAGGGGGGAGGAACGTGGGGACCGCCTCTTTAAAACGAGGACCCCAAACCACAAGATGGTGGGGATCAGGAGAATCGTCCTTGCAATCGACCGCCCAACACCGATGGCCCAGTGCAGCGAGGCGAGCAACGTTCACACGCGAATGGTTCGAGCACGAAACTGGTGGCGGCAACGCCTCCGAACGCCTCCCGCGGAGGCATTGAGTACGTTGCCAGAGGGCCCTGGCCCGTTCCCAAGTGTGGCCCGCACGGGCCACAGGGACAGGACGCGGACGGACGATTCTTTGCACCCCGTCGAGCCAAAGGCGAGGCCAGAGGGGGAGGAGGCGAGCAGAAAGGGTGGCCACAGCTTTGGGTACATGAACATCACGCTTGAGTTGCTCCTGCAGCTCGGGCGAAGGAGTGGGATGCTGAACAACACCCCTCTTAGCCGCAAGACCGGCTGTATGGTTGCCCGAGCGGGCGAATAATTCGTGAGGGGGCAGCACTGTCTGCACGTATTGATGCGCCTGACCTTGATCAAGGACAATAGGCGGTCGGCTTGAGACAGGACTTGCATCATCCTTCCACTGTAGGCCAACTTGTAGTTGATCTGGTTATGATAACCTGGAGCATGAAACTGCATGTGCATATTTGGGACAGTCCGTGCAAACATGACAAGGGCCCCCCCACTGAGGAATACCGAGCCCCCACATACCGAGTATTCCCCACCTTGGCTAGTCTGAGGCGTGGGGCTCCAGACAGGTGCCGAAACCGAACAGACATGAACATCGGGAGACTCGTCGACGGCACGACCCCACCTTGCTCGCGAAAGCTCTCTGACTGGATGCATGCAGCACGAACCGTCCAGAAAGACGTGCCCGACAAAACCGCCACCCAGCATGCCTGGGTCGTTGTGCCACGATATGCATCCGCCGTCCTGGGTGAGAGGGGCAGGGTACAAATCCCCAGGGTGCCTGACGAGACCCCGAATGAACAGCAGGATGTCCACATTGGGCTCCTTGGAGGCTTCAAGGATCCAGGGCTCAACAATGGACTTTTTGAGGTCCGAGCAAACCCTACAAACCCAGAGCCTACGGTACAGCGAGTCAGGCTCCCCACAGAGCACACATTTAGGGCAACATTGGTATCCCAAACCGATTGCCTTATCATGAGTCCAAGTAGCCCCGCAGAGCACCGCATTGATGGAGCCCTTCTGGATCCCCTCGAACTTAGATGAACGCATCGCCGAAACCATGACGTCGAAACACAGCCTGTCGGGGGAGCCCAAGGTGTTGCTGGCCGAGCGCTCCAGGAACCTCACCGCACTCTCGCGCAGCAACTTCTTCAGGAGGCCAGGCGAGGTGACAGGCAGGCATTGAGGAAGGTACAGGGGCCATTCATTCCCCAGTCGATCATGCACAGTGCGAGTTCCATGGTCCCCACTGGTCAGGCGCAGCTGCGCCACGATAGAACCTGGTGACATGTCGCCGACCACGCAGCACGGAGAGCAGAGCGCGGCAACGACAGCTGCGTCACCTTGCCGGCGGTGATCCACGCCTCCTCACCCCCAGCGCAGGATGGGAGCGGCAGCGGGGAGCCACTCGCTGCGGCCACGGACCCCTGCGCCGTACAACAAACCAGGCAAATGCGCAGCCGTACAAATCTGCTTGCATCTCATGCCAAGTACAGGCTTGAGCCTGACCAGCCTGCGGACTCGACGATGGAAAATGCAAACTCGCTTCTCACGTGTAGCACATTTGCCCGACGAACGACGATGTCGACCCCGCGTACCGTCGAAGTCGAGATTGGCCACCCCTTGGCAATGGGCCCTGCGAGGCCACCCAAGGAATCACGAACTAAGCGAGCGACATGTTGAGACGAGGATACTTAAAACGACGCGAAGATCGGGACAAAATCGGATCGGGATAACTCGAAATCTCTGAGAATCGGCGGGTTTGGGGGATGTATTGGGCGCCGCGGCCGCTCCAGAGCGTTCCGGAACGCTCTGAGAGCGCTCCGGAACGCTCTGGAGCGATTTATCCTGATCCTAGCCCTGTTTTAATACTAGACAAGCCTTGTCCGCCGTGACCCCCGAGTTGCGATCGATCCACGGCGAGCACTTGCTGTCGAGCGTGAGCGCGCGGTGCAGGGCCCTGGAAGCCTCGGAGAGATCGCGCACGACCTCGGCCGCACTGCCGATGCAGTTCAAAGCACAGTCGACGATGGCGACGATGACGATGATGATGATGCTGCTGCTGCTGCTGCTGCTGATGATGATGGTGATGATGATGATGATGATGATGATGATGATGATGATGATGATGACGATGATGATGATGATGATGATGATGCGGATGCTGCTGCTGATGATTATTATGCTGCTGATGATGCTCATGATGCTTCTGATGATGATGCTGCTGATGCGGATGCTGCTGCTGATGACGATGATGACGACGATGATGATAATGATGATGATGCTGATGATGATGGTGATGGCGATGACGATGACGATGATGATGATGATGATGATGATGATGATGATGATGATGATGATGATGATGTTATTAGTATTAATATGGTGATGATGATGAGGAGGAGAGGATTATGATGATGATGATGAT